TTTACTGTAAAGGATTGGTTCTGTAGGCCAAGTTGACACCTTATTAACTCTTATTATCTGAACTTCAGCTACAGGTGCTCTGAAGTTAGCTTTATACAAATCAATGGAGCTTTCTTCCAAGAAAAAAAAAGCTTCATAATGAAAATTTTAAAAATCCAGTTAGTTAAATCATACCAGCTTATTAAGGGACTTCCTTCTTAATGAAGACTGAGGCTGAAATCCTATATATACAAACTTAGAAGTAAGCCCCAGAAAATTCAATGCAAGTTAATTCTGAGTAGGCAGCTATAGGATTGTATTTGTGTCTTAACTGCCAAAGAAATCAAGTAATAACTGTTCACATTGATTTCTGTTTGATCTTAGATCAATTTAAGTGAAATCCACTGGTGTCCCATCAGTCAACACAGACTTCCCCTTCCCTGCTATGCCATGCCCAAATCTTCCTGGAGATTTGAAAGGGGTGCTCAGAGGGAAGGGCTGAAAGAAGGGGAAGTCTCATTGCATGAGCAGATATGGAAGCACTTTGCAGTAGATGTTGTTCGTCTGGATCTAATTTATTTCCCTTCTGAACCTAGGTAGCCTCCAGAGTTCCCATGGTCATAGAGATACACCCTTAGATCTTGGAGGCCTACTGTAAAAAGCCTCCTCTTCCTCTCTAGTGGCTGCAAGGTGGGGACAATTACTGCATGTTTTTGAGCATGAAAGAGCTTTTGGCTGAAAGAGCTCAAAGTATAGCAGAATGTATTAGGGGACTTTCTGAGCTAAATAAATACATGTTCATTGGGGGTGTTGAGAGTTTTGGGGAGATTCATTCTGCTCAGTTTGGAGGAGATACACTCTGTTCACTCTTAACTTAGGTGGTAATTTTAGCACCCTAAATAGAAAGTTTAGAGGAAGGATAGACAACTTGATGCCTTCCTGAAGTTTTGAACACAATTTACATAAGTGTGAAAATTCCCACTACCACCAGGGATGTGGTGGCGCTGCGGGTTAAACCGCAGAAGCCTCTGTGCTGCAAGGTCAGAAGACCAGCAGTCGTAAGATCGATTCCACGTGATGGAGTGAGCTTCCATCGCTTGTCCCAGCTCCTGCCAACCTAGCAGTTTGAAAGCATGCAAAATGCAAAATGTGAGTAGATAAATAGGTACCACCACGGTGGGAAGGTAAAGGCGTTTCCAGGTTTGTGCAATGAGGTATTGCTGGATACCTCCTTTCACAAGCTTAGAAACTGTCCAACCATTCACATAACAATCTGTTGTTAGTTAATGAAACAGAAACAACAGTAATGGCTTAGCACAAGAAGAACAGTGTTTGGCTTCCTTGAATTTGACAGGACAGATTGGTTTGGGAGAAGCTTCCCCCACCCCAAATCACTTGCCCATCACTTTCTCCACTGTGTTAAAATGGCTATTTTTGTTGTTCAGCAGTATTTCATTCTGAAATATAAATTTCTTCTTTCCCATTCACAACGTTAATGTAAAAATTGTTTTTAAATTCTCTTCCCACAGAATCTCTTGTAGCTGCTTGTACTCAAGAGATTCTCCCCCCCCCGTGAAATCCTATGGAAAATAATTGCTTTAGGATACAGTAGCTGTAAATTCATTTGTGAATTCTTTCTTTTCAACATGACAGGATATATGAAGTGCATTTTTAAAGGACACCACACTCTAGTAAACACTAAAACCCAGCAACTGGTCAACAGAGCTACTCTTCTGCCTAAGAGGATGTGCAAATGAAATAGAAGGCAGACAGCTCTCTGCTGAAGTCAGACAGGCAGACTACCCTGACGCCAAATCAAGTTGCGATAAGAAACATACTGTGGAACATTGGTTACTCTGCCCATTAATGCCATTAGTTTTGAGACAAGCACACAGCATGGGAAGCAGCTTTATCCGTTCTTGCCAAGTGGACTTTTTCAGGAAGTCAAGAAAATCCTGGCCTTTTAAATCTGGGAGAAGAAAAAAAAACTCTCTTATTTTCACAATGGCTTAATTCTCTTTTTATTTTCCCTTCCTGTTAGCAAAAACAGGATAAAGAAGCAGGGATGCCATGCAAGTGAAAAGTATAATGGCCTTTAGACAACTTTTGTCTAATTAAAAGCCCATAATGGCTTGATTAACTGTGCTCTTTGAGGATTTGTGTAAGCCATTCTATGTCCTTTTCCATTGAGCAAATTAAAATATTATCTTTCTGTCTATTAGTCTATTATTCTTAATAAAGAATCTCCAGGTTTCAGGTCAGCTGCAGGCAAATTTTTATCAATATGTTCTATTCTTGTTTGAATTAGCATCATAAAGTCACTACAACCAGTTTGTTACTATTTACAGAGAAAGTCAACCTCAAAAAAATTGGCAACATTCAATGGGTGCTGCTCAGTGCCACAAGACATAAAGGGTGCAGATGTTTTTCCACACAGGAATGCAAGGATATACAGAAAGAAGCACTTAAAGTTTAAGCACGCTGGAGCTGACTTTAAACCCCACATTTTTAAAAAGTTTGTATATGTATTGATCTGTGTCTTAACACTGCCTGTTGACTGATGTAAGATGCCCCCTTATTCATTGTTCATAATTTTTATATTTTGTTTTTTTTATTATGTTAGTCAATGTTTTATGCTCATTATTTTCAACTTTAAATATTGTCTTTCACTGTTGTAAGTCGCCTTGGGTCCTCTTCATGGAGAAAGGTGGGGTAAAATATTTACTACTACTACTACTACTACTACTACTACTACTACTACTACTACTACTACTACTACTACTACTACTACTACTACTACTACTACTACTACTACTACTACTACTACTACTACTACTACTACTACTACTACTACTACTACTACTACTACTACTACTACTACTACTACTACTACTACTACTACTACTACTACTACTACTACTACTACTACTACTACTACTACTACTACTACTACTACTACTACTACTACTACTACTACTACTACTACTACTACTAATAATAATAATAATAATAATAATAAGCAGTGCTACACTGGAAAAGGCTAACCCAGTTTGAATTCAAAATCTGCTTTACTGTAAAGGATTGGTTCTGTAGGCCAAGTTGACACCTTATTAACTCTTATTATCTGAACTTCAGCTACAGGTGCTCTGAAGTTAGCTTTATACAAATCAATGGAGCTTTCTTCCAAGAAAAAAAAAGCTTCATAATGAAAATTTTAAAAATCCAGTTAGTTAAATCATACCAGCTTATTAAGGGACTTCCTTCTTAATGAAGACTGAGGCTGAAATCCTATATATACAAACTTAGAAGTAAGCCCCAGAAAATTCAATGCAAGTTAATTCTGAGTAGGCAGCTATAGGATTGTATTTGTGTCTTAACTGCCAAAGAAATCAAGTAATAACTGTTCACATTGATTTCTGTTTGATCTTAGATCAATTTAAGTGAAATCCACTGGTGTCCCATCAGTCAACACAGACTTCCCCTTCCCTGCTATGCCATGCCCAAATCTTCCTGGAGATTTGAAAGGGGTGCTCAGAGGGAAGGGCTGAAAGAAGGGGAAGTCTCATTGCATGAGCAGATATGGAAGCACTTTGCAGTAGATGTTGTTCGTCTGGATCTAATTTATTTCCCTTCTGAACCTAGGTAGCCTCCAGAGTTCCCATGGTCATAGAGATACACCCTTAGATCTTGGAGGCCTACTGTAAAAAGCCTCCTCTTCCTCTCTAGTGGCTGCAAGGTGGGGACAATTACTGCATGTTTTTGAGCATGAAAGAGCTTTTGGCTGAAAGAGCTCAAAGTATAGCAGAATGTATTAGGGGACTTTCTGAGCTAAATAAATACATGTTCATTGGGGGTGTTGAGAGTTTTGGGGAGATTCATTCTGCTCAGTTTGGAGGAGATACACTCTGTTCACTCTTAACTTAGGTGGTAATTTTAGCACCCTAAATAGAAAGTTTAGAGGAAGGATAGACAACTTGATGCCTTCCTGAAGTTTTGAACACAATTTACATAAGTGTGAAAATTCCCACTACCACCAGGGATGTGGTGGCGCTGCGGGTTAAACCGCAGAAGCCTCTGTGCTGCAAGGTCAGAAGACCAGCAGTCGTAAGATCGATTCCACGTGATGGAGTGAGCTTCCATCGCTTGTCCCAGCTCCTGCCAACCTAGCAGTTTGAAAGCATGCAAAATGCAAAATGTGAGTAGATAAATAGGTACCACCACGGTGGGAAGGTAAAGGCGTTCCGTGTCTAGTTGCGCTGGCCACGTGACCACGGAAGATTGTCTTCGGACAAATGCTAGCTCTATGGGTTGGAAACAGAGATGAGCACCACCCCCTAGTCAGACACGACTGGACAAATTGTCAAGGGGAACCTTTACCTTTACCTTACTAGCTTGGTTGCCAAGGGGCTTATGGCACCCACGGTTTGTAAAATTTGAAAAACCACAAGATTCCTATATCTGGTTTAGAACACATTTTTCCAGTTCTCTTGTTACCTGAACTTGGAGGCAACTAATTACAAATAATGAATTCATTTTAGCAATACAACAAAAAAATGGCTTGCTACACCTAAGTACAATTTAAAGTAATTAAAAGTAACTAATACAAGTATTTCTGAGAAATATTGTAGTAAAGAACTAAATTTCTTGAGAAGTACAAGTATAACAGTACCTAGCATTTTTGAAGACTTTTTGGAAGTTTCACGGTAACTGATTACTTTTTCAATGTAACTTTTCAAACTTTGATGTGGTAACTACTATACCTGCCATAGCTTACTTCTAAGAAAAGGGAAGATGGGTTTCAAGAACAACTAAGTGGATACCCGAATTAAATAAAGATAGTATTTACCCAGGGAAAATATAATATACACCTAATACAGGCACAGGCTGATTGTTTAATTAAATATGTGACCAAGACCTCATGCTTTATCATAGTAAGATTATCTAAAGGAGTAAACAGATTTTTAAAAAGCATTGAGTACCATTTGAAGAAGCAAATCTTTTGAATGGTTCTTCCTACTCACCATCATCGGTGTCAGCTAAAATAATAACTTTGGTGCTGGGGAATTCTGTTCCGACTTGCCCTCCCATTGGCATACTTAACGTGATATTGAAAGTTTCATCCTCCTCATAAAGTGAATCATCAATAATGATGACACGACATGTCTTCTCTGTCTCATCCTTATCAAAGCGAATGAGGCTCGTGTGGTCTTCAGGACGAGAGATATAATCAGAATAAGACAAGACAGTGGAAGGGGTTGTACCACTGGCAGAGCCTAAAAGAAAAGGACAAAAAATTAATGGCAAACATTAAAACTGTATTATAGGGAATCCTGAGATCTACTACTATAGTATTTAAAAAGACTGTCTTTCCCCTTAAATCTCTGTCCCTTTCTATGCCTATAAAATCCAATTTCTGAATCTTTCCTCTTTATGGCCCTCTACAGGTTTATTATATAAAGACTTATGATTCATATTGCAGTGCCTCCACCCATATATGCCCCTGCACCAACAGAGAGATGTTGTCTCGAACTGCCCTTCTAAAGGTGCCAACTGTTAAAGCTGTTCTGCTTGTATATACCAGGAAAAGATATTCTCGTGTTGCTGTGCCTACACACTTTGGAAATCTTTTCTAGTGTCCCTGTGAAGTACGACACCCCTGCAAAGGTTCAAGAGGGAATATAAAGGGGGAAATATTTTTGTGAGCCTTTGTTTATTAGAAAAAGTGCTATTCTAGCCAGCTGGATAGCTCAGTTAATGACATAATTGGCTGCAGACCCAGAAGTTGGGAGTTTTATTTGCCATTGTTCCTTCTTCTGAGTACAGCCAATCTGCGTGGCGTTGGGCAAGCTGCACAGTCCCATGGTGCCCTCAGAAAAAGGGAATGGTAAACCACTAGGAAAAGCTACCTGGAAGACCCTGAAAAGGAACACCATAAGTCAGAATTGACTTGACATCGCATGATCTTTAAACTGCTATTCCACCACTTATGCTGTATAGTAAAGCATTACGTTTTAATGTGTATAATATGAAATCGCTTAATGGGTTTTAGTTTTTTGCTAATTTTTGTTTGTATTTTTGCCATTTATGTGAAATATTATATTATCTAATTCTCGTGTTATATGTGTAATAGTTGTTCGTGTTGCGGTGTGTGCCATTCTGGGCATCTCTGGACAAAAGAATGACATATAAATAAAAAAATAAAATACTGGATCAAATGCCTATCTAACCCAAAATATTCCCCCAGTGACCAAGCAGATGTCTGTGGGAGTTTTCCATCACTTTTTACTGCAAAGGAAATTTAAAAACAAAAAATAGCACAGTACATATTAGTAATGGGTTCTTTACAAAGTGTGCAATGTAACTGCAATGTAATGAGCAATTAGTTTCTCTTAAAACAATAGCACCAAATATCTATGTTTTTGCAATAAAGTCCTCAAGGTCTATCTGAACGCTAAGGCTATTCTCCACTGAGGCTGCTACTCCCCTTTTATTTTCCACAGGCATGCTTCACCTCCCAAGAAAGCTGCTTTGGCTCAAAAAGAGAGAATACAATGGCAGGAGGGGGAGGATAACTTGTCCCTCCCCCTTGCAATTGTAGGCTGTGGAATTGTTTCTGTAGTTTATAAACCTGCCTGGGGTTATACCATGACTAGAGATGGGGATGACTCCCGCTTCGTGAGTTGTCAAAAGTTGATGACTCATGAAGCATGAAGTTGCCCCCATGAAGCTACGAATAACAAAGTTATTTGTCGTTTCGTGGGGGGTTATTAAAAAAACACCCCTGCACCTGCCCCCCTGCTGCCACCGCACCCCCATGCTGCCAAAATATGGATCAGCTGATAACACCCCAAACAAAAATTTTCCCTGTGCAATCCCAGGAATATAACTGCAACAAGGGAAACAAATCAATTCTGTACCAAATATATTCATTTCTGTAACCTGTCTGCATTACACAGGACATGAATGCCTCTGTCAAATAAA